GTGGATTGGCCATGCTAAGTGTCCAGGGATGTGTAGGTTATGTGTGTTAGCCATGGGAAGTGTAGGGTGATAGGGATAGGGTAGGGGGATGGGTCCGGGTGGGATGCTCTTTGGAAGGTCCGTGTGGACTTGTGGGGCCGAATGGCCTGTTTCCAAACTGTATGGATTCTATTCTGTGTGGCTTCACTAAGGCCCTGGAAAACTGCAGAAAGACATCTCTACTCCTGAACTCAAATCCTGTTGTTATGAAGGCCAGCATGTCATTAGCTTTCTTCACCGCCTGCTGCACCTACATATCAATCTTCTGTGACTGTTCCACCGTGACACTGAAGTAGAGCTGAAGCAAAAGCAGAAATTGCTGGAGAAATTCAGCAGATCAGGTATCTGGGGAGAGAAAGGAGATTTAATGTTTCGGGTCCAGTGACAGAATGTTTGTGTACTGAGGGAGAGCTACATGATTGAATGTCCCTTCATCCAAACTTTACATCGACCTTTCATTTGGTAATTCCAGCTTTTCAGGAAGACTTCCACTGCTCCATTGGAACGTAACTCAGCAACATCTTCTCAAGGACAACTAGGGACAGGCAATATTTGGTGGTCAAGCCATGTTGACCAATGATTAAGATCCCAGACTGGAAAAGACCAGATTTTAAAGGTCTAAAGGTTGAAGGAGCGCATTAATTGGAAACACATTTTGATGAATAAAACAATTGATGAAAATAGGAGAATTTCGAAAGGGACATAATGCGAGTTAGATGCATTACCATGACCAGGCAAATTGAAACAGTTGTTAAGAAGGCTCATATGATCCTTGGGTTTATAAACAGAGGCACAGAGTATAAAAGCAAAGAAGTTTAAGGAAAGATGTTAAAACCCTGGAGAGAGTTCAAAGGAGAATTATTAGAATGCTGCCAGGAATGAAGGATTTTAGACAAGGAAAGATTGGAGAGATTGGGCTTATTCTTCTTGGAGCAGAGAAGATTAAGAGGTGATCTTGTTGAGGTGTTCAAAATTATGAACAATTTTGACAGGGTAAAGAAGGATCTTCTGTTTCCACTGGTTGGTATTTCGATGGCAAGGGGTTGCAATTTCAAGACTGTCAGCAAGATAGCTGGGAGTGAGATGAGGACAAACCTCTTTACTCAGGGAGTTGTTAGGATTTGGAATGTGCTGCCTGGGAGAGTGGTGGAGGCAGATTCCACAGGAGGTTTCAAAAGAGAACTGGATATAGATTTGAAATTAGACGACTACGGAGGTAGGGCTGGAGAGAGGGACTAGCTGGGTAGCCTCTTTCAGGAGCCAGTACAGACATAATGGGTCAAATGGCCTCCTTCTGTACTGTAAAATTAAAAGAAAGCCAGTGACAGTGCATCCCATGAGTGAATTTTAAAAATCAAATACGAGTAGGCACCTTTCCCAGTGCTGTGCCTGACATTGCACCATTAACATCACCCACAAAGAGTTTTTATGCACTGTTAGATGAGTTGACATACTACAAAATGTTGCATCAGCTGCTTTGGGAAGTTACTGAGAGCTGTGGTAAGGAACAGTATTCATTCACGCATTCTGTAGCTAATCTGATAGTGCTTGACATTACTATTAAAGATGGAAAATGGTCCCATTTGCTGATGCTGACAACTTCTGCTTTCAAAAACACTTATTTCATCAGAGATCTTTTTGTCAGGGAAGACAAATGCAAGGTAATATTAACCACAAAATTGACATCTGGCAATTTGATTTGGAAAAACTGCTTGCTTGAGTTCTGAGATTCATATCTTTATTTCAAGCAAGGTATCAGCTTAAATTCTACAGTGTCCAACAGGGTGCTCCAATACGTTTTAGAGAGAAAGAACAGGGAGTGAGAAGGATCAAGAAAGAGAGAGGGAAGGCAAGGAAAGAAAAGGCAGCATGGAGTGGGACGTCAGGGGAGGATGAAAGGAGTGAGGAATGAAGGCGCTTTTCATAATCAGCGGAATTTGCAAATTACTTCACAACTAATACTTTTATTATGAAAGTGTTGTAGATAACATCGGAAACATTGCAGCCAATTTGGGAGTGAAAATCAGCTCATCTCTTTCTCACTCGTTGCTTGAAGGGTAAAGAATTTGCAGGATGTTGGGGCCATTAGTGAGACCACTTTTGGAATGCTTTGTACTGTTCCGGTCACCCTGCTACAGCAAGTCATAGAATCCTTATTGTGTGGAAGCAGGCCATTCAGCCCATTGAGCCCACACCAACCCTCCAAAGACCATCCCACCCAGACCCACCTCCCTACCTTATCCCTATAACCCTCCATTTCCCATGGCTAATCCACCCAACCTGCACACCTTCAGACTGTGGGAAGAAACCGGAACACCTGGATGAAACCCACACAGACACAGGAAGAATGCACAAACTTATTTTTTCCTTTATTCATTATTGCTAGCTAGGCAACATTTATTGCCCCTCCCTAATAGCCCAGAGGGCATTTAGATTCAACCACATTGCTGTGGGTCTGGAGTCACATGTAGGCCCGACCAAGTAAGGATGTGAGTTTCCTTCCCTAAAGGGCGTTAGTGAACCAGATGGGCTTTTCCCCCCTAACAATCGACAATGGATTCACGGTCATCATTAGATTCCTTATTCCAGACATTTTATGAATTCAAATTCCACCATCTGCCACAGCAGGATTCGAACCCAGGTCCCCAGAACATTATTTGGGTCTCTGGATTAACCGTCCAGCGATAATACCACTTAGCCATTGCCTTCCCCTGCACACAGGCAGTTGCCTGAGGCTGGAATTGAACCTGTGTCCCTGGCCCTGTGAGGTAGCAGTGCTGACCATTGAGTCATCATGCCGCCCCCAAAGGAAGGATATTATTCAATTGGAGAGGTTCAGAAAAGATTTACTCGGATGTTGTTGGGAATGAAGGGTTTGAGTTATAGGAAGAGGCTGGATAGGCTGGGACTTTTTTCACTTGAGTGTAGGAGGTTGAGGAATGACTTTATAGACATTTATAAAATCATGAGGGTATAGATAAGGTGATTGGCAGCTGTCTTTTCCCTACGGTAGGGGATTTCAAAACTAGGGGACATATGTTTAAGGCAAGAGCAGAAAGATTGAAAATAGACCTGATGGGCAACTTTTTCTCACAGAGGGTGGCTCATATGAGGAATGAACTGTCAGAGGAAGTGGTAAGTATGGGTACAGTTACAACATTTAAAAAATATTTGGACAGGCCCGTGAAAAGGAAAGGTTTAGAGAGATAGAGGGATATAGGCCGAGAGTAGGCAGGTGGGAATATTTTAGTTTGGAAACATGGTCGGCATAGACTGGTTGGACTGAAGGGACTGTGTGAGTCTGTGACACTATGACTGTATACTAGACCCAGAGGATGTGAAGAGCCAGCTGAAAGAGCAGATCAAATCCTTAACTTAATTTTTCATTCAAAAGGCATCACCTCCGGCAGTGCACAGCCAACCCTGAGGTGAGCTTCCGAACTCATATATACGCCATTACTAAGATAGCCTTGTCCAGCTCCGTAACACAACCTGACATTGTTCTAGAACATAGAACATAGAACATTACAGCGCAGTACAGGCCCTTTGGCCCTCGATGTTGCGCCGACCTGTGAAACCAATCTGAAGCCCATCTAACCTAAACTATTCCATTATCATCCATATGTTTATCCAATGACCATTTAAATGCACTTAAAGTGGGCGAGTCTACTATTTTTGCAGGCAGGGCATTCCACGCCCTTACTACTCTCTGAGTAAAGAACCTACCTCTGACATCTGTCCTATATCTATCACCCCTCAATTTAAAGCTATGTCCCCTCATGCTAGCCATCACCATCCGAGGAAAAAGGCTCCCACTGTCCACCCTATCTAATCCTCTGATCATCTTGTTCTGTTCTTAGTTCATTTGCTGAAGCTGTCATTCATGCCTTTGTTGCCTCTAGACTTGACCATTTCAACCTATTCTTGGTCGTATTGGCTTTCTAAACTTGAAGCCATCCCAGCATCTGCTGCCTTACTTCCACCAAGTTTCATTTCCCTAAGACCGGTGTTCACTAACTTATATTTGATGCTTGGTCAAACAGCATCTTGGTTTAACACTTTTGTCCTTGTTTTCAAATGCGCCCAAGGCCTCACCCCTTCCCCCAGCCCCACAACCTTTGGAGATATCTGCAGGAGATTGACGGATGATCTTATGGAGGTTTATAAAATCATGAGGGGTATAGGTAAGGTAAATGGCAGGTGTCTTTACCCTAGGGTGGGGGATTTCAAGACTCAAAGGGGCAATTTGTTAGGATGAGAGGAGAAAGATTTAAAAAAGACACGAGGGGCAACTTTTATTATTTAGAGAGTGATTCATGTGTGGAATGTACTTCTAGAGGAAGTGATGGATGCAGGTACAGATACAACATTTAAAAGAAATGTTTGGTGATATGGGCCAAGCGCAGGCAGGTGGCTTTGGGATTATGGTCGGCATGGACAGGTTGGACGGAAGGGTCTGTTTCTGTGCTGTATGACTCTATGGCTCTAATTCCGGCCTCTTCCACACCCGCTCCCCCTGCCCCAGTTTTAACAGCTCGACAATTGCTGGTTGTATTGTCAGCCACCTAGTCCTCCCGTTTTGGAACACTCTCACTACATCTGTCCACTGCCCTCTGCTTTTTTAAGGTACCACTTAAAACCTAACTCTTTGACCCTAAGTTTTTCTGGACCTAATATTGGACCTAATAACCAAGTCGTTAAAGATGCTAAGTGAACATAAGTTGGTTTTGGAAGTTTTTATGCTGAAGTCTCCAAAGTGAGCCTTGGACCCATAAACGACTTGAGGCAAGAGAAATGCCAACTGACATCATTAAAAATACATGGTTTCATCAAAATGCCTGCAGATCAACACGCTAAGAAATGGAAAGGCAAGTCTTCATCACAGTCAGGCTGGCCAGGACTGTGGAATAATTGCAATATTAATATACAGATGTCAAGCTGACAATAGGTTCTAATCATAGTTTTTGTCATCCTCATCAAGGTTCTGTGATTATATCTATGATCAAGAGCTCTGTGAGGATATAATGAATCACAGTGGGGCTCCTTGCTGCTTAGTGCACCAGCCACTGTTAATAATTATATGCCACAGCACATGACGTACGAACAAACTGTTTTTGTTGGCTCAAGAAGGAAAGATGAAGAAAATCGCTGTGTAGTTGAAGTGAGTATCTCAGTTCCAGTGCCAGGTCAAATTGATGTGACATATGCCATGATCCCTGGGGGATGACCTGGATGTAGTTTAGAAGCATAAGAAAGACAGACAACAGTTTTTCGTTTGGAAAACTTTTTGTTTAAAGGCAATCTATGGTCACACAAATCTTTGTAGAAGTGCGTGTGTGTGTGTGTGTGTTTGTGTGTGTATGTGTGTGTGTGCATGTGTGTGTGTGTGTTTGTGTGTTTGTGTGTGTGTGTGCGTGTGTGTGTGTGCGTGTGTGTGTGTGTGTGTGTGCGTGTGTGCGTGCGTGTGTGTGTGTGTATGTGAGTGTGTGTGTGAGTGTGTGTGTGTGTGTGTGCGTGTGAGCATGTGTGTGTTCTATGGAAGGCTCACCAGACCCGAAACGTTAACTCTGATTTCTCTTCACAGATGCTGTCAGACCTGCTGAGCTTTTCCAGCAACTTCTGTTTTTGTTGCTGATTTACAGCATCCGCATTCTTTCAGTTTTTCTGTATGATTCTGTATTATGATTCGGTATGATTCTGTGAGTATGATGGTGTCAGATTGTTGCCTGACTACTCTGTGAGACAGCTCTCCCAATTTTGGCACTAGCCACCAGATATTAGCAAGGAGGGCTTGGCAGGGTTGACAGTGCCATTTTGTCGTCGTTCTTCCTGGTGTCTATGTTGATGCCAGGTCATCCATTCATTTCTTTGTTGAGACTTCATAGCAATCGATACAACTGATTAGCTTGCTAGGCCATTTCAGAGGGCAGTTGAAAGTCAACCACATTGCTGTGGGTCTGGAGTTACATATAGGCCAGACCAGGTGAAGATGGCAGATTTCCTTCCCTGAAGGATTGTAGTGAGCTAGATGGGTTTTTCTGATAATTGGCAATAATTTCATTGTTTGACTCTGTCCCAGAACATTACCTGTGTCTCTGGATCGATAGTCTACCGTTAATGCCACTAGGCCGTCACCTCCTCTAATTATCCCCTCGCCTCCCCTAATTTATCCCTTCTCTAAGACCACTCACAGAAACGATTACGACACTTTTAATATATTACTGCCTGTAGGATGTGGCTGAGTGCAAGTTGGCTGTTGGATTTTTTCCATTATTGTTGTGTCTACACTTCAAAAAGTATTTAATTGAGTGGAAAGCACTTTGAGACATTTTGATGTTGTTAATTGTATTGTATTGAAGCCTTTCTTCCCTTTATGAGCTAAAAAAATGGAAGAAAGGTGTCTCCTCATCAATATCCATTCAGAGAAAGACGATTTTCTTAATCCCACTCTTCGGGACGCAGCATTGATTGACTGGTGAAAGGTACTCAGGTTTTTCATGCATTGGAAGTTTGAATCTGTGCTAACAGTACCCTGGAGAGGGAAATAAGAATCAATGTACTCTTGATGCCTTACATTCATTCATCAGTGTAAGTACTAAGAGCTTCTTGCTCATCAACAATGTAATTGACATTCACAAGGACAGTGTCCTGAGACAGTAAAAGAAACACAATAAATAAATAAATAATGTGTTGATGTTTAGACAGGAAAATCCTAGTGAGGAGTGTGCAGAACATGTAAAACATGGAATAAATAGGAACTGTCACCCTGGCTTCCTGTAACGAGACAATCACATTAATATGTTTAGACAAATTCTTTATCCTAACCATACCACAATTTAAAATATCCAGAAGTCAGGTCTGCTGCCATGTTCAAAGAAGGATAATGAAGGTCGATGAAAGAGAATAGGAAATTTGAGGGGATTTTGCAGTGGGGATTCTTGAATAGGAAGAGTACATCATCGCATTATCTGCCTGATCCCTCCCTTGCCCAGCTCCCTAAAAGAAAACATTTGGAGAGATTTAGAACCTGTTGTCCATATCAATGTACTTGAACCTGAGGGAGTCTCTGCAGTGGAAGTAAAAATATGAGTTTGAAAATAAATAGACTGAATGGTATAGTGAAAAATAAATGGATAACTCATCTCAAACACTCAAGAAATAGGATTAAGGTACAAGAGTAGACAATGCAGCCTGTCAAACTTTTACTGAACATAGTTGAACTTAGGTTTCACTCTTTACTTTCCCAGTCCCTCCCCGACCCTGTCCCTTTCTCCCTGGGACACCAAAGCAATCCCAGCATTAACTAATGATGGAGCATCTGTGAAGCTCTGGGTTAGAGCATTCCCAAGATTCACAACCCTTTGAGTGAAGTGATATCTCCGCATCTCAGCCCTAATTATTTAGCCCCTTATAGTGAGACGGTGCCCTGATGTTTTAGATTCCGCACTCAATGAAAACAATCTCTCAGCTCATCAAGTCCCTTCAGAATCTTGCATGTTATCAATGAGATCATTGTTGTGTTAAGACATGGATTCCAGACCAGGCGGGACTGTACCTTGAAGACATGACATCATGAGATGACATCTCACCTTTATTCAGTCTGTCTTTATCATGGTATCATTCTTAGTGTCTTCAGTCATTCCATATTATGTACATAATATAACATAACATCAGTAAACATAGAACTCAGACTATTATAGCGTTGTAAATAGTGTTGTAAATAAACTACAAGATGTCTATCTCATCAAGAAGCTGATTCATTGTGGTACATGATGTGTGGACTTACACATAAAAAAACATAAAGCACATCATTGTAGCAGCAAGTAGACACTCAAAAGTAATCATGACAGCTAACTCAATTTTTATAAATTTTTGCTTACAGTTATTAAAGTGCATAAAGCTTACACTAAAGAATGTTAGAATACAAATATGTACTGAAGGAGACTCTACCTCACTCTACCTTCAAAACAAAAGGGGGTTGAAATGTGTGAAAGGCAGCACCAATCTAAAAATGTGATCCTGGGGCTAAGTACAGAAACTAAAAATACAGAGAAAAATGTTCTGTGCTAAAAAATGCCTTACCTGTGTCCAGATGTCAGTTGCTTCTGCCATTTTATTTTCCCAAAATATCACTATTAAAAAGGCACATATGATATCATTATATGCTTCTTTTTCTTCATGAGCTCCATCTCTATAAGCCTACAACTTTGAAAAGGTCAATAACGTTTGACAATAGAGAGGAGAAGAAAAGCGATTAGCAAACAAGATTTAGAAAAGGTACTCCACTGCAATATAGATTTTTGCTTGCAGTTGATGAAGTGCATAAAGCTTACACAAAAGAAAGATAGAACACAAAGATCTCTGATTTCTGAAGAAGGGTCTAGGCCCGAAACGTCAACCTTCCTGCTCCTCTGATGCTGCTTGGCCTGCTGTGTTCATCCAGCTCTACACCTTGTTATCACACAAAGATCTAACTATGGACTAGGAATCCAGTGGCCGATCGGCCTCCTTATTTCATCCAATTTAGTCAGCATATTGCCCTATTCTTTCCTCATCAGTGTCCTCAATTCCCTTCCCCTTAAGTGCATTTGAGAAATTCTCATTCCTTTAGTAGTGAGTTCCAGAATCTGACAACTCTGAGTAAGAAAGTTTCTTTCAAATTTCTTATTGGATGTATAACAGAGATTTTTTCCAGCCGATTGCCTTGGGCCGAAGTGTTCTATCAATTGATACATGATTCTGTCCACTGTGATGGATTAAACTTGTAATTGAATCACCGCAAGGTTATCTGAATATAATCTACAAAGCATAGTTTGGAAATAATACGCACATTGATAATATTATGTGGTTGTGTAACATATTAATTCAGAATGAACTGTAAAACTCATTGGACTGGGCCCCGATAATGAATTGTTCATTATCAGTTGACAAAGCTCCAATGATGCAGTTGTGTTTATTAATCATGTACTGCTGTTACTGTGGAGGAAAGTGAACCGTTGTCAGTGACTGCAAGATGCATTGTGTTGGTCAGGAAAAATGGAGCTAAACATGATTAAAGACGTTCCTATGATCTTCGAATCTGTGAAATTATGTTTGAAAGCCCCGAGGGAGACAACACGGGTGGCACAGAGGCAGAGTGGTTAGCACTGCTGCCTCACACAGCACCAGGGACCTGGGTTCAGTTCCACCCTCAGGCGACTGTCTGTGTGGAGTTTGCACATTCTCCCCGTGTCTGTGTGGGTTTCCTTCGGGTGCTCTGGTTTCCTCCCACAGTCCAAACATGTGCAGGTTAGATGGATTGGTCATGGGAAATTGCTGTGTACTGTCCAGAGATGTGTAGGCTGGGTGGGATTAGCCATGGGAAATGCAAGTTTACAGAGATGGGGGCAGGTCTGGGTGGGATGCTCTTCAGAGGATTGTTGTGGACTTGATGGGCTGAATGGCCTGAATGGCCTGCTTCCACATTGCAGAGATTCTAAGACAGCAACCCCCAAGTAGGATGGCAAGAAATATCAGAATAAAGCACCAGCAAATGGTCAAGAAGATTCGAATTTAACTGTTAAGCATTAAATTCAACCTTGAGTAGACAGAACGTGCTTGCGGTGAAAAACAATGGCAATTTAATGGCTGAAGGATGGCTTCAACCTAAGAATATGAAATGGAATGAAGTACAGAAAATAGAAACGCGTTAAAAAACATTCTGTACTAAAAAGGCCCATCACCCTCCTCAATGAGAAGACACTCGATTTGGGTATTCATGATAGTGACAGATCAAGTTAAGGAGGGAAATGAATCATTAATTCTTGGTTCAAAGAGAAGAGAATGCAGATTGAAGGTTTTGGGCAGGTGGTATATGGTGAAGACCATATGGTCTAAATGGGCTAAAATTGGGGATGAGGGACACCACAGGGCCAGGGTAAGTAGATAAAGCGGCACCCCTCATAAGTTATGTCTCATTTGGCCTCATGGCAAAGATCTGTCAAAAA